GGAGGCGCTGGCCTCATGAGGACCAGGTGAGAGATGACATCCACGCCTACTCTGCCTGCTTCCCCGACCCCAGCTTTCAAGTCCTTTGAATCCAAGTCTTTAACTAGGATTTCACCCGGGCAGTCTCTTCCAAGCTCTGGGCCCAAAACTTACCTCTCATAGGTCATCTCTTAAGAACCTGGGACTTTGACTTTTTTTTAATTACAAAAATGATTTGTGGAAATCTTAGAAAATTAAGTACCCAGAGGCAACCAGTGTTCACATCTTGATAACAGAATTGCTCTTAAAGAAACCAATTTTCTATTTCTTTCCATGTAATACATACACGTAGTTTTAAAACATCCGAGAGGATAGAAGGGCTTTGATGAAGAGTAGCCTTTTCTGCTTTGTCGCTGGCTTCCAAACTCTCACCCCAGAGCGCATGGTCTGCTCTTTGTGGTCACCCCACCCCCCCAGCTCTAAAAAGCTCTTCGATCCCTTATATAAGCAAGGGTGCTTTCACCAGCAGCTAACAGAACTCCTGAGAGTAGCTTAAACAGTAAGAACATTTATTTATTTCAAAGAATGCAAAGCCCAGAAGTCAATGGTTTCAGGTGTCCAGGCTGCATGAGTCAGCAGAGAGCTGCATCTCAGGGCCTTCCCCTCCTGGTCACAAGATGGCTGTCAGAGCTCCAAGCATCACATTGTCATCTAGGCGGAAAGGCAGGGGAAGGGCCAAGAAAGCTCTCCAGGTGCCTCTCTTTAGTCAGGGAGGAAAGTGCTTTCCTTGAAGCTGCCTGAAGATGTCGCCTTGTAAGATCCTAGTCAAAACTGGGGCACGGGGGTTCTCTGAACAGCGTCTGCTACATGCTAGTCCTAGTTCATAAGTTCTACCGATGACCCACGTGGCAGATTAGGCGTTAGGTCACTTGGAAACGACTCCCCTCCATCTCTGCTTCTCTCAACACGGTTTTAAAGTACCTCTCCTGGCCATCTTTTTACAAAATCCATCTGCCCCTTCACTCCTGTCCCGCAGGTGTCCACAGACGCCCTTGCCTTCCTGCTATCATCCCTGTCAGCCGTCCTACCCACTTCGCTGCATTGTTGTCTCCCAACTTCTGTGTCTTGACCTTCACGTTGTAATGGACGAAACTATGGACATTCTATTCTCTAACCATAATGAAATCCAAGTCGATACAAAAATTGACTATCAGTGAAAACTGGAGAGGAGAAGACAAAATTCTCAGTATCTGAGACAACTATACCATATAGTTCCTGTGGATACCTACGTATTTATGAGTTTTTAGAAAGTCTAGAAAAGTGCACATTGAGCCTATTACAGTGTTTACCTCTGGGGAGGAGGGAGGATATGGGAGGGCGGTGGGTGGCCCAAAGGGTCTTGAGCTTCATCTGCAGTGTTCTATTTTTTAAAAAGGAGAATGTATTCATGTTTCGCTTGTGTCATTAAACTTTAATTTGGAAAAAAACTCCCATTCATTTTCAGCCAATTATGTCGGCTCTGTGTGTTTGGCAGTGTTCGCATGTTTGTGCCCAGGGAGAAAAAAACGTTTACTTTGTGTGTGTCTATGAATGAAGTACAGTGATTAGTAAGTAGATTTAGAAAAATGTCGCAAGCAACAGCAAAACAAGAAAAGTGGTGCGGAGAGAACTCATTCGCAACAACAAAACCCATTAGGAAATGGGCAGCTTCTTTAGGGAGAGAAGTACATAATATGTGGCTGGAGGACACACAAGATGATCAGGATAAACGTAGGGCTCTCCTGTAGCCATAAATCGAAAGGTTCAGTATGATACTGAGGTCAATTTTGCCCAAATGAATCTTTAAATTCACAGAGCTTGACAAGCAAGTTTTAAAATTCATACGGAGGACTCAATGTGCAGTAATAGCTACATAACTGAGAAGGGAGCACAATGAAATGGGGCATTTTACTTAACGATATCAAAAGGTATACTGGGGCCGGCCGAGTGGCTCAGTTGGTTAGAGCGCAAGCTCTGAGCAACAGGGTCGCCAGTTCAATTCTCACATGGACCAGTGAGCTGCGCTGGCGCTGAGCTGCCACTGAGCTGGTGAGAGTACGTGCTCTTAACAACAAGGTTGCCGGTTCGACTCCCACATGGGATGGTGGGCTGTGCCGCCCCCCCCCAACTAGATTGAAAGCAGCAACTGGACTTGGAGCTGAGCTGTGCCCTCCACAACTAAGATTGAAGGACAACAACTTGACTTGGAGCTGATGGGTCCTGGAAAAACACAATGTTCCCCTTCCCCAATTCCCCAACACTGTTCTCCTCCCCAATTCCCCAATAAAATCTTAAAAACGAAAAAAGGTATAAAGCTATGGCAGATAAAATAGCCTGGTACAGACAGGAATATACAGATCGGTGAAACAGCTCAGGGGCCTCAGACCTTCCTAGCACCACAGCTTAGAACGTGAGGGAGCTTCACACCAAATCCATGGAGAAAGGATGAGCCAGCCAATCTACTGCGCTGTAATAATCAGCTGTACATTTGGAGAAAGGTTAGGTCATATCCCATTTCGATCATAAAAATATATTCCTGATGCATTCAAGACCCAAATAAAAACAAAATTATTAGAAAAAAAATACAGGATATATTTAAACCTTAGGAATAAGGAAGGCTTTAAACATGCTATATACATAAAAAGAATAAAGGAGAAGACTGATAAATTTGATTATGTCAAAATTGATAACTTCCATCTAAGAAGAGGTCTTCCAAAGAGTTTAAGGCAACAGACAAGCTGGAAGAAAATATTTTCCATACCTATAACAGAAGATTAATATTCAGACCAAATCTGGAAACTCTACAAATCAGTATGATAAACAACCTAATTTTTAAGTGAGAAAAAAAATAAACATAATTCAGAAAAAATACAAATGCCACTCACATAGGAAAATCTTACTAGCAAATAGGCATATGTAAATTGTAAATAAATGATTCAATTTTCACCGATCAGACTGATAAATATTTAACACGTTTGCTTATGGTATGGGGATTAGAGTCTCTCAAACCCTCTGGCTGGAAGTTTAAATGGTACAGAAATTATGGAGGACACTTTGGTAATATTTGTTAAAACTCAAAATGTGGAAATCTTTAGATCCCAAATTCTGCTTCTCAATCACAATTGTAGAGAAACATTACGGAGGAGGCATGTGCAAGGCTGTTTTTCTGCAGTGCCTCTTATGATGGAGGAGAGGAAATGAAGCAACTACATGTCCATCGTTCTTCAGAAGAGAAAAGGTGGTACATTTGTGGGAGTAAATACAATACAGCTATTAAAAGGAATGGGCAAGAGCCATTTGTATCAATAGGAGTACATCTTAAAAATGTAAAATTGAGTGAAAAGAACGCAGCTTACAGTAAAATCCCTATAAAGTGGAATGAGTCATTCAGAACACCTATATCAATACTATACATTTCTATGGAAGGAGATACATAAAGCTAAGACTTCAGAAGGTGGCCAAGGAAAACTTTAGCTATATTCGTATTGTTCTACGTTCAGTAAGGATAATGTATCCGTGCTTTACTTGTTTGATTAAAGTATAATTTGAAAAGATTCTAATTTGTTTTCAGCCAACCTTGCCAGCTCTGTGTTTGGCTGTCCCCGCGTGTTTGGGCTCAGGGAGGAAGAACGTTTACTCTGCGCGTGTGTCTGCAAATCAGGTGCAGTGATTCGTAAATGGGTTGCAATGGAACACAAAAAACAAGGGCCAAACAGTTCAGGGGAGAGGGGGTCCTGTTCTCAGTTGACAGCAAAACCGAGAATAAACCTAGGAATAGATTCATCAGGAAATATGCAAGTCTTGAACCAGAGAAAACCATAAAACGTCCCTGAAAGACATAAAAGATGACCAGAACTGAGAAACAGAGCACTGAGCATTGGTAGGAGACTCAGTAGGATAAAGATTTCAATGTTCTTCAAACTTATCCATAAACTCAATGACATCCCAATGAAAATCCTAGCAGAAATTTTTCTGAAACTTGACAGGCTGATTTTAAAATTCATGTGATGGGACAAATATGCAAGGATGACCGAGGCAATTATGCAAAAACAACAGAGAAGGTGGGATTTGTCCCGCCAGTTAGCAAAGTATATTATCAAGCTTAGGAGTAGACAAATAGATCACTGGACCAGAAGGGCTCTGACACAGGCCCGCACTGGAATTCAGTGTCAGGCAAAGGGAGCGATTTCCAATCAGTGGAGAAATGAGCGATTACCCAATAACAGTGTTGGGACAATTACCTATCCACTGGGGGCATGGCAGGGGGTGAGGGAGGTGGGAAGGGATTAAAGTTAGATCCTAAGATTCACGGGTATGGAATTTATTTTTTATATATAGTATAAAGGCTTAAATATATACACATATGTAAATTATAAATTTTAGAGAAGAAAATACAGAAAATGCTTTTGACCTTGATCTAGGGAAGGCTTTCTTAAATAAGATTAAAAAGACATAAAAGATTGATAACTTTGTATCAGAATGTAGTATTTCTCTAAGACAGAAGATACCATACAATTACCTGACAAGAATCACAATGTAGATAACATTTGCAATATACATAGGAACAAGGTATTAGTATTCGAAATGCATAACGAACTCCTAAAAATCAATAGCAAAAATACAAAAAGAACTTAAAGAAACAGGCAAAGAGTATAGATAAGTAATCCAGAGGAGGAAATAGAAATGGCCAGTAAACACATGCAGATGTCAGTCTTGCAGGTAATTCAGCAAAATGTAAACTAAAGCAAGATACTATTTTTCACTCATCGGCCTGGTTAAAAATGGAGGCCTTTGAGATGGTCTGGGCAAATGGACACTGCTGGCAGGAGATTCCATTCGTGTGGCCCTTTGGGGAACATTCTAGCAGTCTCTGTTAGAATGTAAGATGTGGATACCCCATGACCCATCACTTCGTTTTCTAAGTGTCTCCCAGAGAAACACCTGTACATGTGCAAATGGGTAATGTCCAAGGGAGCGCTTACAGTTTTGAGTGGATGGAGTGACACTGGGAAGATTTTCATAGTCAATCAGTAGGAAATCAAACATGGTGTAATCAGTCATGACCGCCGCCAGCTGCTAAAGCAGAAGTCCGTAGGGCACACCAAGATGAGAGCAACAGCTCCAGTGTGCACACACCACGTCTGTGCAAACAAACACACACAAAAAGAGAATAAAAGATGTGTTTCAGTGGGCATTGGGAAACATTTTGGGTCAACAACAAAAGTCTAAGGGCAACTATCTCTGAATGAGGGGAAGGGCCAGAGGTGGAGGTGGGGTGAGGGAGATCTGTAGAGACTTCTTTATCTGTAACGCTTTAATTTTATTTCGAGGAAAATATATTCATGTATTACTTGTATAATTAAAATTTAATTCAAAAATTTGAATTCATTTCCAGCCAATTAGCTCTGCTTTACATGTGTGCCGTGTTCTCATTTGTGAGCCCAGGGACAAAGCACATTTACTCTGAATATGTCTGTGAATAAAGCATTATGATTAATAAATTGATTAAAATTTGGAAAGCCAAAAGAAAAAAAAAAGGAAAACTTTTTTTCACTCACAAAGGCAACAAAACTGATAAGGCATTCAGGAACAAACCTATTAAGAAATGTGAAAAACCTTTGTGACAAAAGCAACCAACCTTTATTAAAAGGCATTACAAATCAAACCAAACAAATACGACTCTGATTAAACAGAGGCAGATACAATGTTCACAGATGGGAAGAACTGATATCCTAATGATGTTATTTCTTCCTTCAATGCAATCCCACTCAAACTTCCAACAGGATTTTTTTTTTCATGAAACTTTGAGAAGTCGATTCTAAAATGTATGTGAAAAAGTAAATGTATAATATGACCAAGGTCATTTTTAAAAAGAATAAAGGACCAGGAAGGGAAGGGTACTTACCTTATCAGGTAGTCAGATTAAGCTTGGCTGGTATTGGCCTAGAAATAGACAAATTGATCAACAGAGCTCACACTCTTGAGCGAGCTCTTAACCAACTGAGCCACTCGGCCGGCTCCAGATCCGAATAGAATCTAGACATTGGGAACTGGGAGAAAAGATGGTGTAGGGACAATAAATGATACTTGCCAAACTGGTTATCCATTTGGAAAAAGGTCCGATTAGATCTCTGTCGTATCATACATGAAAACACAGTTGGCATGGGTTAAAGACAAACCCATGTAAAGATTTTTTTTAATCTAGAAATTTTAGATGCAAATATAGAATGTCTATATCATTCGCATGGTGGAGAGGCTTCTTAACAAGAGCACTACCTGCTCTAGTGCCAGCACTACAAGTTTCATCATTGCAGTTTGGTAGGATGCTTTCATATCCTGTAGGTCTCCAGTCTGACTGCATTTCCAACCCTCTGCAAGCACCATGTTCACCTGGACCTTGCAGCCCCCTCTTCCTCTCCAGCTCAACCTGGTCCTGGGAAGAAGGACCGTGACACTGGATGGACCGAGGTCTGAAGCCAGCTCAGGCCACTTGTGTTCTTTGTCAGTAAGGCACTTCCTTATCTGGTTTCCGTGTCATCTTCAATGAAATGGGGTAATCCTCTGTATCTTGTGTGGGGATGTGAAGTTCATATGAGATGGTGAATGTAAATATGCAGAAATGGCACAGAACTTACTAAGATAGAGGAGCTGACTCCTCTACTTTTTCTCCACCCACCACCCAAACCACTGACTCCTGTGACTTAACGTCCCAATTCTTTCCTGCATTGTAATTTCTGGAGAATTGTCATATATATTCCTTTTTGGTCAAAAGTGTGAATGTTGACTTCAGATATTTGATTCCAGGGCAGAAAATACTGAATTGGCACCCAAAGCGCTTACTGCCTGCCTGTTGCTAGGTGCTGAGGTACACACAAAAAATAATAAGACACGATCCTAGCCAGGAGACAGGCGAAAACTCGTGCTAATTAGCACCGTAGTGAGTACACAGGTCAGATAAAAGCTCCCAAAAGAATATGGAGATCAAGTTACTCTTGAAAAGGTAAATAATTTAATTTTGCCCCTTTCAGTCAAAAACACATTATTGCCCCAAACTAATTTATCCACCTCAACACTTGATCTCAGCCCCTTTGGGAGCTTATTTCACTAATTGTCTCCATCCTTAATCACTTCATCACTCAGGCTCACTTCCCTCAGAAGATTCACGAGCCAGCATTGCTCTTCCCTTGAAGATTCAAAAGCCCTCCACTTTGCTTCCTCCTCCTTTCTCTCATCCCCCAAGCTGCCTCTGGTAAAAGTCCCCAGAGGTCTCTCATGGGTTCTGGGGTGTGCCAATCAGCATGGCCACTGTGCTGCCCAATTCTGGGGTGCCACGGTGATTGTGCGCATTGGAGGGGCTCACAGATCAGCCTTTGTCCCCTGGCCTCTCAGTACATACCTACTCCTGACCATTCCACTCTGGCCCTTTCTTCTCAGTCCCCTAGGCAGATCCTTCTTTCCTTCTCCAGTCCCCAAATGTTGGTGCTCCTTGGGCTCTTCTTCCTCAGCAGTCCTCACAGCCTCAGAATGCTCCAGAAACCTGACATTACTTCAATGCACATTTCCACCCAGCATCCCTCGGGGGCTCTGAATGGGTCTCTTTAGCGTCTTACTCTGTGCTCTGGAAATATGCATTCGGCTACTTCCTCCCCATCTCCTCTTGGATGTCTCGGCTGACTACCACCAGGCTTGTGGTCTGCCTCACAGATCCAGTCCCATTCTAGGGCTCCGCGGTTCTGAGAACGGCACTGCCACCTCACTGATGAGGGCAGACACTCAGAGGTCGTCCTGCATACCTCCTCCTCTCCCTGCCCCTCTTCGTTCCACCCAGCACCAAGGCTAGCCAGAATGTGTGGACCGTGTCCAGATCCTGACCACCATGAAAACAAAAGCCTCCTAACTGGCCTCCAAGCCGACCTAGGATGCCTCTAGTGATTTCTCCATAGAACAGCCAGTCTCAGATTACAGCGACACACGAGGGCAGGGCTCAACCCTGCTTCCTTTACGTGTATCTCGGGATGTACTCAGCTCAGCCCCGGCCTCCACAGCTCTGCACAGCCAGCACTGCCTGCCTCTCTGGTCTCACCTCACCTCCCTTTGCACAGGCTGTTCCCTCTGCCTAGAATGCTTTGCCCCAGTTAGCTCTTCCCCTTCTTAACATCCTGGTTCAAGTGTTACCTCTTCAGGGAAGCCTCCTGGAGTGGGCCTCGGACTGGCGGGTCCCCTCGTTGTATGCCCTCCAGCTCTCAGTATCTTGCCTTCAGAGTGCCTACCAATGTTGGAAATTGTATATTTGTGTGATTATCTGACTCATGTGTTTCTCTCCTACCACCACAAAAACTCCATGAGAACAGCGATTCTTTTTTTTTTTTAATTTTTATTCGGTAACTGTGTTTTTTGCAGGACCCATTAGTTCCAAGTCAACTCATTGTCCTTCAATCTAGTTGTGGAGGGTGCAGCTCCGCTCCAGGTCCAGTCGCCGCTTTCAATCCAGTTGCAGGGGGCGCAGCCCACCATCCCATGCAGGAATTGAACCGGCAACCTTGTTCAGAGCACACACTCTAACCAACTGAGCCACCTGGCCACCCCAGGGGTTCCATTTTAATTCATTCACCAAAGTATCCACAGTGCTAGGCACACTGCCAAGCACGTAATAGATGCTAAATTAGAAAATACGGAATGAATAAACTTTGGTCACTAAACAATGCTTATCGCATGTGGGAGTTGATGTCTGCCTGTCAACTTGCTCATGTCTTTCCTATGTTCGACCTCCTCACCCCTGTTCTTCACCTCTTGAAGTCTTCCTTCCAGACTCCTCAAAGGACTGTTAGTGATGGGTTCACCTCCCTCTCACATCTTGTCATTATTCCAGTTTATGCCCCATCGCTTCCCCAAAGTGGTCATATTAAGGTCACCAAAAGCTTACTAATCATCAAATCCAAAGAAAATTCTGTCTTTATCTTATTGGAATTCTCTGCTGCATTTGACAGTGTTGATTACCTTCTCCTTGAGACACTTCACTACCTTGGTTGCCATGGCAACCCACTCTCCTAGTTGTCGCATCTCTCAGGCCCTTGCTTCTCTTTCTCCTTTGTTGCCTGCGCACACCTGATTGGTTCCTCAAATGCCACTGTAACTCATGATTCCGTCCTGGGCCCTGTCCCATTCTGTCTCTGGTGATCTCACTCATTCTCGGGGTTCCCATTACTCTGAGCGGCCCTGGGCCTGTACTTCCAGTGAAATCTCTTCCTGAGCCCCAGATCCCAGATCCAAGTATCTGCTGTGCTCCACCTGGCTGTGACCCTGACCCCTTGGCTGTATCTGAGTTCACTGTCCTGCTCCTCAAACTGGCTCCCCATGCTGTGTTCCCCATCCCAGGAGCCTCCCGACCACCCACCCCACCATTTACCCAAGACACATGGAGTCACCCTTGTCTTAACCCTCTCTCTCACTCTAATGGCTAATCATTGACCAATTATTACTGGTTTGTATCTACTACAAGTTTCTGACCTATTTCTTTCCATGTCCACTGGTCTAGTTCAGGTCTCTCCCTCTCTTATCTGCACATGGCTTCCTCCGTGCCTCTGGGCTGGTCACTTCTTAGAATGGATGACTGGGGGTTTGGGCTTTCTAGAATCCCTTATTACCTCCTAATGTCCCTTGTTACATTTAGGGAAATGTGGCTGTGATGGGACCTGGGCTGCTCCCTCACACAGACGCCACAGAGGCCCCTCCTCCAAGGTCATGCCTCTCATCACCCAGGTCCTGTCAGGGGGTGGGCATGAGGCCTGAGCTCCGCCAGTTAGACCAAAGCTCTCTCTTGACTTTGACTTCTGTCCAAATACGGAAGAAATAATTAGAATTGATGTCTACGAGGCACCACCAGGTAGTGGTGGTTAAGACCCTGAATGTAGCATTTAAGACCGTGCCCCAATTTCCATCCACTTCATTGTCCATCATTCTCTCCCTCCAACCTGCCTCTTTGGGTCTCAGCTTCCTAACCTGTGAAATGGGGCTAATGGTGGCTGTCTGCCTCACTAGGGGTGGAAGGATGGAGTTGTGATGACCAGGTGAGACAATGGTCATGACCTCACCATATAAACTATAAAGGGCTGTGCCCACACGGTGTCAGAGTGCATTTCCTGAGACCCAGATAGCCTCCCATCCAGATAGCCTCAACCTTGACTTTTTTCCCTGTTGTTCATCAATTCCCTGGGAATTGTCACAAAATCTCTGATAAAAGAAAATTCTGAACTTCCATTTCAGACATTTGATTTCAAGCAGAAAATAATTATTCTGCCTCTACCTAGCTCGCTGCCTGTTGCTAGGTGCCGAAAGGTAAAAAAATGAATGAGACACAGCCCCAGAACAGGCAGGATGAAACCACTGCTAATTAGAGCTGTTGTAGGTACCCAGAGGGCAGAGGGAAGAGCCGCCAGGAGAACATGGAGATCAGGTTACCCGGTAAAATGTACATGATTCAATTTTGTCCCTTTCCACCAACACAACTAATCCCTTCACCTCCACACTCAATCCCAGTGCTCTAGGGCACTTTTCCTTCACTACCTGTCACTGCTCTTCAAACTGGGGCTCTCACAGCCCTCCTCCCTTCAAATGTCAGCGTGTAAGAAACAGCACCTTCCCGGACCCCACTGTCCCCCGGAGGTCCTCCTTTCCCCTCCCGCTTTCTCCGCCAGGCTCCAGATCACCCCTTCCCCCTCCCCCAGGGGCTTCTGTCCCAAGGTTACTGTGGCAAAGGTCCCCAAAAAGCAGATCCTGGGGTTGCCCTCACCTCCCGGGCTACCCTGACCTCTGGAAACTCTCTTCCCTGGGCTTCTAGGACCCCGTGTTTTTGGTTTTCTCCTCTGCACGCCCCGCCCCCGCCCCGCGCCCACCAGTCTCCTTAGCAGGATCCTTTGCCTGCATCCATCCTGGAGTGCCAGTCA